TATAAGAATCCATACCAGTACCTGATTATTGGGCGGATTATTTGCCTACAGTTAGAAAGGATATTCATGTCAAGCATTTCGACAGAATGCAAGCAAACCACACTTCTCTTCTATTCATGGCCTTAGTCACGTCTTTTCACTTTATTCCCCATAGCGATGGCTCAGCGCTATGCCTGGACTGGACAATTAGCTCCGTCAAATACGATTTTTTATCAGCTCGGGGCTGTGCTTAGCTCAACAGGGAAAAATCATATGTAGGGATCGATATCGAGCTCTTAAAAATCTAGCTGCAGTTAGGAATCCATGAAATCATCATGTCTAGCAAGTTTCTTAAAAAGAGTTTCAAAAAAGATAAAAGAGGACCAGAACGAGAAAATGATTCCATCGAATTGTCCTGATGGGCCTATCCGACTGTTCGAATGGATATGAAAATAGCTCTCCTGGAACAGTTCGGGAAACTGATTCAGAGAGCCTTTCGCAACTGTGCACTGTCAGCCATTCTATGCATATCTCCATTCTATAATACTTTGCTGGTATTCCTACCATCTGGAAGCGAACCTATCCCAAGATTGACCTCCATTGATAGGGTAGCCCTAAAACATCTAGAATGTGTCAATTTGCTAGAAATTCCTATACACAGGCAGGTAGAGAATTAGGGTTTGAAGTCTATCCAAACGTGGTCTTGAAGAAACCAGAATACGAGCTCAACATAAGAACGCATTGCTGACTGCGTGCCTATGAGCCGCTATCGTTACCTTCTACGCTCTCCTGTTCACATTCTGTGATAAGATACGCACAGTGCTGGGGAAAAGACTTTGCAAGATTTTTCAGATAACATTTTGGACAGAAACGATTTATTAGAAAGGTGCTATCCTCCTCCAGGCTTAGTCCCGATCAACGGACCGGTGTTCACGTGCACCCGTCCGATTGCGCGCTCCAATGCTCAACAGCGCGCTTTAGTGCAACGTGGTTACGGTGGAAGCAAGGAAACCGTTCTGATAAATCGTTCTTGTACATCTTGGCAGATGATGAGAGTGCATGTTGGGCCATAGTTCAACCGATCTGGCTTCTCACTTTGCACTGTAAGACAACTGCAAACTCTCAGCAAAAAAAGACTATGCAAAAATCCCCGCACTTTTGAAATCATTTAGCAAATTTCAAAAACAAATTCGAGACCAGATTCCTTAGAATGCCCGCAAACGCGCCATTTGACATTATTCCACAGTCAATTTTAATTGGGAGGCTTTTTGGACAGTGCTGTACACCCCACTCTTCATCGGAATGTGATTTAAATGAAGCGGCAAACTCCGGATGATTTTATGGGAACCGAGCTCCATTTCGTTCACGGAAATTTTGTGTTAGTTTCTGTGCCAACAAGGTGATCTTCGGCCTTTGACCATTTTTCTAGTCTCCTTGGTTTGGTGATTATCATGAACCTCGAAGACGTTCATTCGTTTGTGAATAGCACCCATAATTAGGCGATGCCCTGTGGACGAAAGATTATGGTCACGTTTTTTTTTCTCGCTATACCTCACTTGATATCGGACTCAGATCATTTCTTTTGATTACTTCCTTCAGTACACCCCTCTGCAACGAAGAAGAATGAAAGGCAGTGATTACGATAAGTTCAAGAAGGGTTTATAGAAGACTGGTGGTGTTCAATGGTACGTCAGTGGCGAAAAAAGCGGAGAAATCCGTCAAGAAAACGCGAAACGGACCCCCTTTTTTTGGGACGTTATTTTCACTCATGAACAGGTAACAGCTCAGAAAACGGACGTATGAACGAGTTCATCGCAACGCGTTTGGTGACAGCATGCCAATCCATGCTCAAGTCGAGTTGCTTCAGTTGTGCCGCTGCTGGCAACGCAGCTCGTCCAAATCACCAAGTAAACTAGTGGGCGGATCGCTTTTGGGGGCGGAGTGCTTTCGAAGTCCTGCTCAGCAACCAGCGCACCTTTCGTCGTGAAAGCGCCACACCTCGCTTCCCTGGCAGCCAAGTAACTGCTTCGTGTGGTGCATATGCTTCCCCGATGCGCTCCTCTTTATCGTAATCGCTGCCTTTAAAAGGACGTAAAACACGAAGCTCCCGGCAACTATCCATCGCTTTTGGTATGTGCCGCGCATTCGATAGCCGTCTCATGGCGCATGAACGAATTTCTCCTATATTCGAACAGGAATAAATGGGGGCCAGCCAAACTAGAGTTATCACCATTGTTTTGTCAGGCGAACTAAATGTTCAGAACAGGAACCGTAAAATGGGAAGCTTGAGTAGTCCGAGATTCAACAGTTGCGTGATGGGCAGATAAGTAGGGCCACCTGTCACAACCTTATCTTCAAAATCAGCAGTTTTTAAAGACAGAGAACTGCCATTTTTGGACCAACTTCAGGGGGAGTTGCCTTTCACCTCGATCTCATTCCATGTGAAATGACCACTTATCAAGCTCCATATCAAATATTCCGTACTGCCAACCGTGAGAGAAACAGCTTGTGCGAAAGGTACCTTGGAATAGTCGAACGAACTTTCTATTCCAATCATAGGTTTCCTAGAGCGTTCTCTATCGCTTAGTGATAATAATAGTGTATATTAGCTCCTGCCGGCCGCCGCAGAGCAACACCTTCCGGGTAACTACGCCGTTCTCATGAAAAACTAATTGAATTCTGGTGGTTCAGAATACTGTTGTTGGTTTTTACAGTCCAGAGACAGCAAAATGCTGCCCGTGGCGTGGCCTGTAAGGGAAGTGTTTGATGCTAGCTCTTACACAGATGGGTCCTTACAATGACTACTAATCTAATAACGGATGCCTGAGCCCTAAGAAAAGACGTTATAAGCCTGTATTGGTTGCCTGATTTGGTCCGCCGCCCGCCTTTTAGGCATACGCTGCCTACATCCATTCTTCCAAGCGTCAAAGCCCTCATGTTCTCGCAGCATCTTTCGTTGCTCCAATATTACACAATTGGCGGACTCCAACTTAACTTCCCCTGCACTGGCAAGAAAGCGGATCGTCTTGGCTTAATTGGGAATGTATGAGTGGTGTAGTGGCAAGTGGCACGCTTACCACGCGAGCGGTCCGGGGATCAAATCCTGGGTCGTGAGTCGCCCGGGCCAACCAAGCCTTCCATCCCTCCGGGGTCGGTTAATTGGTACCAGACTTGTCTGGGAGGATAAAACACTGACTTGTACATCGGCTGGCCCCCGCGCAGTCTCACCCTGTAAATATACAGGCCACATCAGAAGGAACATCATCGCACATTCCAACTAGCACGCCACTACGAATCTTGCCAATTGGGATAGTAGATGCCATGCCCATCTCCAAACGTGATTGATTAAGGGCCAATGTATTTAGTCCTTTATGTTTTATCTTCGACGTGATTTTTTTAACACACTTCATTATTTTAAGTCATCACCATGCGAGCCCACACAGACCTTATGCCAATCGTAAGTCGGCGGCTAACATGTGGTGCGCACCACGTCCGTCCCGCGATTATAGACGACCATGCCTGCGATAATTACCCGGCGATCCAACACCGCTGAATCTCATTAGGTTTCTGTGTGAATGTTTAGTGACTTGCAAGCCTCGCAACGGCAAACGCAATATCCTACCCGCATGATTTTCTTCTTGTCTTCTGCAGTAATTTCATGCGAACCATCGCCATAATAACGACTATCAACATTCGCTCGATTGTTTTGAGCGGAAGGTATGTTTGTGAGAGAAAAAATTTTTCCTCACACACTTCAGTCGCTGTTGTGAGCTCGATAGCCTGACAGTTTCCATTCACGATGGATTGGGAAAGAAAAGAAAGCATTTCCACAAACAGGTTGGCATATTACCACGTAACCCTTCGGCACTTGAACCCTCTATAAAAAGTTGAACTTATTCGCTTAAACTGACTAGCACCAAGGGCAGACATACTGTACTTCCTGAAAACCACATTACTATTGCGTTCAACTTATCACCATGGGAACGACAGGTGTTTTCTACTGTTACAATATGCCGAAAAAGTGCCGCCTCAAGATGAAATAATCTTGTAAGTGCGTCTAGGATATGGGGAACGGGGCTCTCAAAGGTTCAAGCATGTTGACGGGGAAACCCTTGAAGTAGCCCTAGCGATTACGAAAGTTCTAGAAGGGTTTACACGTATGTAGGCATGCTCAATGGTACGGCAATGGCAAAAGAAGTAGTTGGATCCGTCAAGGTAAACGCGAAAGGGCTCCCTTTGTTTGCTCAAGGACGAACAGAGCCGGCGGACGTATGACGAGTTTACCGCAACGCGTTTGGTGGCACCATGCCAATCCATGCTCCAGTCGAGTTGCTCCAGTTGTGCCGCTGCTGGCAACGCAGCTCGTCCAAATCACCAACTAAACTAGTGGGCGGATCGCTTTTGGGGCGGAGTGCTTTCGAAGTCCTGCTCAGCAACCAGCGCACCTTTCGCGGAGTCGATACCTCGTTGGGATACCCGTTTTCACAGGGGTGACTTCAAAGAGCAGAGGAAAAGCATTTATTTTGATAAAATAAACAATTTTAAGCCTACGGCCTATTTCCATTCAGACGCTGTTTCTCGGAGATGTTTTAGTATTTCTTTTATCCCAAGGGTCACTTTTACCCCAAGGCGCACGCGCCACTTTTCAGAGTCCAAACCCTTCATCTAATGTTTCTTTTTCAGGTATTTGAATCAAAATCCGGAAAATGCAAGTCTGTATGCAAAACTGAAAAGCATCGATGCTGCAACAGTCGATCCAAGTTGCAGTAATCCAGGGTTTGAAGCTGTGGCTGGCAATTATCTAAAGGTATACGTGATCGTGGGAACTTCGCTTAGCCTGCTTATTATAGACGGTTATTTTCAGGTGTTTGACGACATTATAGGTACGGTTGAAGAAAAACCCGGTGACGTACAACAAGCATGCGACCGACTAATGGCAGTGGGAAAAATGCACCGCACAAAGGTAGAACAGTGATTTCTTGTTGTTTTTTGAAGGATAGATTGAACATGGCTTCCTGACTTTTTTTGAGCTCTAAAATTTAAGGGAAAGATTAAAGCATAAGTGGGTACCGTCACTTGAGATAAGTGTTGGTAGAATTTTGATGCAGGACAATACAGTAGTGTGATAAATAAATAAAATAGAGAAAAAGTAGAGAAATAGATAGAATAGAATATTATTGCTAAGAGTGACTGAAGCCTGCTGGAAGAGGCCCGCGCAGGCAGGAAAAATAAGGATTGCGGCGGTCGCGGCGGAATCAGGGTCGCGAAACACGTCATGTGGTGTGGGTACAGTCCATGATGGATACAGTTACAACTCTGCTTCGGAAACCAGAGTCGCGTGAGTGCAGACTCATACAGAACAATATGACGAATGCCTCCAATAATTGGGTTTTGCAAGGGAAGTATTAAGCGGTTTTGCCAGCCGTATTCCATCAGTTTCACTAATTACAAACTCCATTTCCTGTTCAAGCTATCATAGATGTATCACTAATTACTAAGAATTACTGGTGGGGCCGTCGTCATCTTGTGTCTGTGGTCCTGCCACTACAGCGGGTCTGGTTCTCGGGAACAGAAGGGTACGTTCAATTGGTGGACAGCACAGACTGAGCTAATAGCACACACATATTACGGGCGCGTCAATGCATTGTACACGTGTGAGAGTGGCAAAAACTCATGCGGAACCCCGTCATGTATAAAATGCTCGCTCCAAGTGCAGGAGGATGTCATGAAAAAAAGGCGCAGGCTTCAATCGCCAATTTGGACGCGGCACCCAGGTATTACATTAATTGGCGGCTCTAGTACTCCGTTGCAACTATACTGATCAATTGTTCTAAGCCTCAAGGACAGATTTGCTTATGTATAAAACAAGCACACTAAAAAATCAATAATAGTATGGATGGTCAGTGATGATAGGAGTGAAGGAAAAAACTAAGAAATGATTCGAGCCCGAGAAATGAGACCCCTCCGGCCCGTTGCTGGGCGTGCGTAGGCGTTGCGTATCAGTTGCGACCTATCAAACGCAAACGCTCTTCCGCTGCAACTGTTTAAGCCAGGGCGTGGAGGGGTGGGCGGGCAGCGGCGCGAGCGGCGCGGGAAAATGGCCCTGCCAAGAAGCTAGTGGCATACTTTTCACTGCAAAACAGAAACACCTCCTAAGGGAAACACCTGAACCGCACGAGCTTTTTAACCGGCCCATTATTTTCTATAAAACGAACGCTGAACGTTGACATTGTTTTTATTTGTGTTTGTTTCTTCTGCCGTTCGAATAATAATGATAGTAACAAAGAATGCCGAGGTTACAAGAAGAGAGAAGCAGGAGACTACTCCGAAAGTTGACATTGTTTTTTTCATCTATTTTTTATATATTGTATTTATTTATTTGTTAGCTATGAGACTGAAGAATTTTGAGCGTATTTCAGGTTTCCGGCATGCAGAACAGTGCCTTTCAAAATATGGAGGAACCGTTTCTGAACATGGTGAAGGAAGCACTCCAGGACCGTTTCAATGAGAAAGCCGAGGGCCTATTCAGAAAGTTCTTCCAATTCTGTCTCAAATATCTTTTGGAAGGGTTTAATGGTTGAAAAGGATCGAATAGAATTAAAGTATACCTCTTACAAGTACATGCTTGATATCCGCCCGCTTGATTTCCTCCTTGTAAACACGGCTGCCAGGCGCAGACTAGTGTGATTTTGAGGCTTCATGGCGTCACCTGAAACATCTTTAAATTATGTGGATGACTGAAAGCTTCAGAATCCAAGTACATAATTAAAAGTAAAGGAGCACTTCTGCAGAGAGAAAGGCGTACGATTAGAAAATTATTTCATGATTATCACAAGACTTGTCTATCGTGCAATCAGCGAGGTCTTAGAGCCACGGGTCGGGATAAGGTGCCAAGAGGGGGTGCCTGCTTGAATGAGGAAAAGGGGTCCCCAGGCCCAGGAGCCACGATACTGCTGCGACTCAAAAGTGCATGGTAAGGGTACTAATAAGGTCTTGTCTTGTACTGCTGCCTGCGCTGATACTCCATCAATCATGGCGTTTGCGCCCTCTCGCATCGACCTACTCTCTCAAGCTTTTCCTCCCCTCGCGACGTTCTGTTTCTCCGTCATACCATTGCTGAACTTCAAGGGGAATTTCAGCGTTTTCTGTGGCACTTTTTCATGTTCCCAATCACGTTCCTCATCGCTGTTCTGGTTTAGTTTTTGAACAATATAGCTCACCAATTCGATCCCGACCCGTGCCTTTAATGAGACCATAGCGCTCCAGATATGGGCATAACTCCTCCCACGTCTTTGATCAGCTTAGCCCTTTTACGACTTTTTGAATGGGTATTAATCAAGTGGGACAAAATGCCTACAATATCGAAGAGAAAGATCTCATATTGGAGATGTATAGGACGTTATTCTTCATTTTTCATTTTCTACACTTCCTTCTATTTCTGCTACCCCTCCCACCTCTT